AAACAATGAAGTAAGATGGAACTCCACACCATCTCCATTTCTGATATTACAGCCCTAATTATTATAGAGAGAGGAAGTATGGTATCACAGAATTATGCTGAGTTAGACACTGGAAGTGCAAACTCTAATCCTGATGCTGGCTCTTTCTTGTGATGTTGGACTTCACAACTTCCCTAAGACTTCCAGTTTGCCATCCTTAAAATAGGAATCAAGCCGGCCAGGTGTGGTGGCTCACACATGTAATCCCAGCACTTTACATGTGCATGGAGGCCAAGGTGGGCAGATCACAAGGTCAGGAGTTTGAAACCAGCCTGGCCAATATGGTGAAAGCCCATCTCTACTAAAAATACAAAAATTAGCCGGGCATAGTGGCGGGCGCCTGCAGTCCCAGCTACTCAGGAAGCTGAGGCAGGAGAATGGCTTGAACCTGGGAGGTGGAGGTTGCAGTGAGCTGAGATTGCACTATGTACTCCAGCCTGGACAACAGAGCGAGACTTCATCTCAAAAAAAAAAAAAAATAGAAATCAAGTCATAATTACCTTTTCCTAGGATTGGGAATTACACAAATAAGGTGCCATCAAGTGTGCGTTAGCCAGCCAGACTACTAAAACAAAATGCCACATATTGGGTGGCTTAAACAACAGACATTTATTTGGAGACTAGGAAGTTCAAGATCAATGTGCTGACCAATTTGGTTCCCGATAAGAGCTCTCTTCCTGGTTTGCAGATGGTCGCCTTCTCACTGTGTCCTTACTTGGAGGAGAGAGAGTAAAGTGAAGCAAGCTCTCCGGTGTCTTTTCTTATAAGGCCACTAATCCCACCATGAGGGCCCCACCCTCATGACCTCATCTAAACTAATCACTTCCCAAGGCCCCACCTCCAAATATCACATTGAGGGTTAGGGTTTCAACATACCAATTCTGGGCGGACATATTCAGTGCATAACAATATGTAAGTATTATGTTACCACCATAAACAGTAAAGATGCTAGGATTACAAAGGGAACTGACATTTTATGGAATGCTGGTCATGTGCCAAGCAATTTAAGATTTTGTTTAATTCTCATTATTCTCTGAAGAAACATCATTTCCCCTGATTTTACAGAGTAGGAAGCTGAAGCCCATAGAAAGTAATATTCCCAAGCTTACAGAGCTGTTAAGTGGGAGCAGCTGTTTTGAAACCTTAGCACTGTCCCCCCAACTCTCTCATGCAGCACTCCACGCTTCCTCCTGGGCAGTACTGTTATCATTAACGACCAATAACCTTTCCATAGATCTCTATTATAAACTGATACAAATTCTGCTTTATTTCCTATTTTAAATTTGTGCAAATGCATATATGTTTTTCTACGTATATGTCAGATGCAGTATTATTTAGAAAAAAATGGTTTGTCAATATTCTATCTTAACAAGTTATTATATGCTTCTCCCTCCTTTTCTCCCTTCCTATACTCACTCATCATCCTTGATTCCTTTCTAGCATTATTTACAGCACAATATATTAAGGGTCAGTTGCAATATACCCATGGCAAGGAGTAATAGATACATTTTCAAATAGATATTATAGTTTAAAGCTATGTATGTGTGGGCATATATACCCACATATACATATACACCCACACATACATATAAGTAAATTTTTAGCCACAATTATGAGATTCTTTGTTACATAAAGATTCATGACTTTAAACAGCTTGAAAAACTTTTAGCCTAGAAAACTCCAGGACCTAGACCTTCCAGAAGCCAAATTTTACCATACTCAGATGCCTGAAACAAACTTTGAGACTTCATTGTTTTAGTATATTGACACACAGAGATTAAAATGCATATACACACACAACTGTCCCAAGAGCCAATATTCTGCACACAGAGCCAAAAATCAGCTAGGAATTAAGTAACAAAAAAGGCCCGCATGATAAAGTGCTTGTCAAACGCAGGGGAAAGCAAGACTTACTTTTGTTTGTTCTTTTTCAGACCAGCACAGGGAAGAAGAGCAGGCATTCTCAAGAACACAGAGGGTAATGGATTTCCAGGATCACACGGAAAAGCCTTCAGCCTCCAAACCTGGCTCTCAAACCTCACTATTCCCACGGCATCTGTGAGTATCTGGACTCAACCAGAGCTTGGTAAGAGGGACGCCAATTAAATCTCCACCAGGCAGCATGAGCACTGGAGGTCCTCTGCCAGCTGTGTGACCTTAGCCTTCACATCACTTTCTCAGTCTCCTCCCGTAAAATGCCAGTTATCCTTCTATCTAACTTCACCTGTGAGCCATGGTGTGGCTTCCCAATGCATTTCCATGAGCTAAGGATTGGTTCTGACAACAAGGCAGAGGTTCTCCCTGATAATTTCACTTCTAAAACTAGACCTACTGAATGGTCTTCAGTGCAGAGTGACTGAGGGGACATAGGAAGGTTCTTGTCTCCCAAATATATCTCTACTAAGTGCCTAAAAGACTGCTATTAGTTGCTTTTCCTGAGACCTTATACTGAGTACTGTACTCTGGAACAGATTCCAAAAGGAAATCATTAACTCCTTAGAATGGGTGAGCATATGTGATTCCTGGAGAGATCCTGAGCATCAGAACACTGGTCATCAATGAAAGAGAGGGAGAAAGGCAGAGAGAACATAGGCTGGAGGCCCAGTCAGCCTTGAACTAGCCCTGCATGCAAGACACAGGAGTTTGTGGGTTCTTCACCAGCACAGTGCAGTACCCCATGGAAGTGCTCAGGTCCCCTGCTTAGAATTTGAGATATTGCCATGCTGGGTGGGGAAAAAAAGAACTACGACCCTGAGAACTGGAAGTTCAGCATCCTAGACCCACTGCACTGCTAATCTAGCTGTTTGACTTTAGGCAAGTCACTTCACATCTGGGATGAAGTTCTTTCATCTTTAGAATGATTGTGTAGGATTATATAAAATCTAAGGTTCCTTTAAGCTTGAATATTCTATAATATTTTTGTCCTATTCTTCTAACTGCCTTACCTTTTACACAACAGAATTGACTTCTCCCTCCTCTCTCCCGGCATGGTGGCATGAAAGTGTCTTGTTACATCTGCTTACATCAGTGTTGATCTCCTTCTACTAACCCGTGAGCTCCTTGAGAGCTAGAACCTCACTTTATTTCTTTATTCCCCCAGCAAACTGCATGGCAGAGATTAAGTTTGCAATCAGCGATGATTGAAGAGACATTTTAAAGTATAAAGCTCTATACAAGCATAAGATATTATTTTTATCTTTTTCACCCTAAACATCCCTGGTTTGCCCTTGCCAAGCCTTTAGGCCATAGATAGTGTGGGAAACTGCAGAACTGAAAATCCAGCCCTTGCAAAACCTGTTTTGTTGTTTTCTCTTTAAAAAGAACATATTGCCTTTATTTTTTTTAAGCCAAGGATGAAATAAAAGCTCTTTGTCAAGTGCCCAACTAGAATTTAGTATGGATAGGACTAAATTAGTTTAGGGTGTACTAAAATCAAACCACCAAACCAAAGCTACATCCGTGGTGGGGGAGGTGAGCGTATCCTGTAATCAGCTCCCCTATCCCCATTTGGGCCCCAATCACACCCATCCCTGTGTTTTCTGGCCCAGCATTCTCATGAGGCTTTTGTGGCTAAGTCTGTAACACAAACAACTGTTAGGAAAAGCTGCTGTTCCAGGTGAATTGCATTTGAGTTTCTTCAAAGCCAGGAGCTTCAGGCCCTCGTCCAGGGTAGGCTAAGCTGAAAACTAGCAACCTTCTTTGGTTCACCCATCATCAACCAGCCTCTGCCATGCAGTTGGTTTCAAACAATCCAGGGAATTTGTACAAGGTCATTTCCCAGGCAAAATGAAAACACCCAGGTGAGTGACCAGCGGTGAACAGGAGCCATAATTAACAATAGCAGAGTCTTCAAGCATGAAGGTTTGGATTGAGTTCAGATAATCACCCAAAGGTTGAAAGACATTCTCAAAACCTTGTGGATTCCAAATTTAGACTGCCATGTGGCTGAGAACAATTTGAATGATGCTTTCTTGGATGGAAGCCATAGTTTCTATTCCAGGTTGGGCCCAAAGATAGGCAAAAGATAAAGAAAAAAAGATATACTCTAGCAGGTAGGATTGAATGGATGGGCTGAACAAGAGTTTGAATTGATAGACGGATAGACAGGTAGATGGATGGATAGAGATATAATAGAGAGATGAATTTGTCTTTATTTGTGTGGTAATCAACCGTTTTGGAGCATTTGTTTTTATGACGGTGAATAAATTTATGACAATGAATAGGCTAGTTTTTGCAGCAAAAGAGGAATTTAGATCAAGAACAGCCCTGATTAAGAAAAAAACTAGAGGAAGAGAGAGAGGTATGGGTATAGGTATATAGATAGATAGATACAGGTATGTGTGTGTGTATATACATGTATATATATATACACAGAATTTATAGATGAATTAGATATGGAGTATACATATATACACACATATAGAAATATATATAGAGATAGAGACAGAAAAAAATGTGTGAATGTATATAGAGAGGAAAATAGAGATCACTCCATGGCCATCAGGCATCACTCAGCCCTGGAGGTTGAGTCACTGTCCTATCAAAGGCGAAGCAATGGCCTTTGGAAGTCAGCCATGGTTTAAGATTCAGTTGTTGATCATGCCCTGCCTAATCATCACACTGATGCAGTTATCCTAGAATGGCATGTCCCTAAAAAGAGTAGAAGCTGTTCAATATCTGCAGAATGTATCTGGGAACCCAACACTGAGGGAAACACTTACTTATAGCTGCATTTTTTTCAATTGAAAGGGAGACAGTAAAATTACTGAAGTAATCTCTCCTATCTTAAATGCACAAAATACCTTAATGTAGATTACCTTTCTTGACACAGCCAGTCTATGAAGCAAGTAGAAATCCCTATTGTTCGTTGTTGGGTTTTTTTTTTTTCAGTATTTCCCATTTAAAGGATAAAAAAACAAAAACAAACAAATAAACAAACTGAGCCTAAGGAGAGAACGTACCTTAAATTGGGTCACATAGCGAGGGAGGAAGGGTTAGAATCCAGATCTCCTATCTGGGTCCATTTCTTTATCCATCACTCTATGCCATCTGTCATTCAGTGCTCAAAGGTGTCCACAGAAGACTCCATTTAGAAATGTCTGACCTGGAAATCATGCAAAAGAGGGTTATAAGCATGCACACATTTATTTTGTTTCTTTGTTTGCTCGAGTTTTTTTTTTTTTTTTTTTTAATATACTATGTAACCTTGATCCAATTATTTCTTTGGCAGTGAAATTAAGACTTCTTTTCCAGTTACTTCCTCAGGACTAATACAATGACTCAACACTGCAGGTATGAGGAAAGATACATATTCTGCCTTCAGCATCATATTCAAGATCAACTCATGACTAATGAGTGTCAACTGTATGTCAAGTATTAATAGGTATCTCGCGTTATTTAATCCCTTCAACGACCTTGAAGTGTAGGTATTATTTTCTCCATTTTACAGAGAAAGCATTTTACAGAGAAAGAAACTAAGGTACAAAGTGGTGAATAACTTGCTAAAGGCAACACACCTACCATTTGCTTCATATGGTTGAATACTAGGGTCAAATCAATGGAAACAGAAACACATTCTATAAAAATTCAGAGGAAAGTGAAATCATTTCCACTTGGAGTAGTTCAGGAAGTGTGTGCTCAGTACTGAAGTATTGCAGAGGCATCTTCTAAAAACTTGAAAATGTGTGATGAGAATTGTGTCTCTCCTCTTGCCCCTTTGTAGGAGGGTGTGGCATGCCCCCAGACTGTCTTTTGAGCTTCTTTATGCAAATGATGACAAAGTGGCCAAAAATATAGAGCTGGAGAAGTCAGGGTTTCCAGATAGCTTTAAAGTGGAAGTGTCTAAGAAGGAGAGAGACCCAGGATGAAGGGAGTAGAGCATGAGACAGCAATTAATCAGTGTAGGCTGAGTTTTAGAAAAATGGGGAAATTTTGAGAGAGTGAAACATGAAATTAAAGACAGATGCTGCCCCTTGTGACACAGTGCAAGGGTGAGAAGCAAAGATGTGCCCAGTGCCCTGGGAAGCAGTTTAGCCTATTGGTGCCGACCCCCATTGCCACGGTTCAAGTCCTGGCTCCTCCACTTACACTATAGGAAATCATCTCTCATGTTTCAGTTCATGATCTGAAAATAAGAAACACTGATCAAAAGAGTTGTGGCGAAAATTAAATGAGACAATCTGCATAAAGCACTTAAATTGGTGTAGAAATACCACTGCAACCCAGATTTGGGAGCAATGATTTAAACTACGATTCAATGCTTTCTTGAATTTTGGACTTGTGTTTTCTCAGAATGCGTCACCAGTGTAATGAGGATCAGAAGGGAATTGCTATTTTGAATAGGACGGTCTGAGAAGGACAAAATTGAACCAAGATGCAAGGGAAGTGAAGAAGAAAGTTATGTCAATAACCTTAGGGGAAAGTGTTCCAAATAGAGGGAACATCAAGTTAAAAGATTCATACACATGTTCAAAGAACAACAAGAAGCCAGTGTTGGTAGAGAAGCCAGAAACGGGAGAACAGGAGGAAATGAGGTTGGAGCAATGGCCAAGTCTCAGATCAAGTAACATCCTGTAAGCCTCGGTCAGAACGTCAGCTACCATGTTAAGTGCAATAAGAAGATGGATACTAGAGAGTTTTGAGCAAGATGGTGGTACCTATTTTGCATTTTAAATTCCTAGTCTGGCAGGTGTGCACATAAGAGACAACAGGAGGTGCAGAGTGAAAGCAGAGAGAGGTGAGAAACTCTCCAGTGTTAGGCCAGAGAGGGCTGGGATTTGGACCAGGAAGTAGCTGTGTAAGTGAAGAAGTGTGTTCAGATTTGAAATCATTTTTAAGGGACAGCAAACAGAATTTATAGATGAATTGGATATGGAGTATGCGTGAAAACAGAGAAGATTTGGGCCTGAGAAATTATTACTACTTTTATAATTTGTATAATCATCCCCCTATACTGAACATGTCAATTACTTCTAGAAGGCTTGGTATTATAAGGCAACATAATTTATGTGATTCACCAGTCAGAATGGCTATTACTAAAAAGTCAAAAAATAACAGATGCTGGTGAGGTTGCAGAGAAAAGGGAATGCTTATACACTGTTGGTGGGAGTGTAAATTAGTCCAACCATTGTGGAAAGCAGTGTGGCAATTCCTCAAAGACATAGAAACAGAAATACCATCTGAGCCAGCAATCCCATTACTGGATATACACCTAAAGCAATATACATTGTTCTATTATAAAGACATACACATGAGTATGTTCATTACAGCATTATTCATAATAGCAAAGGCATGGAATTAACTTAAATGCCTGTCAAAGGTAGCCTGGAAAAAAAATGTAATATATATTCACCATGGAATTCTATGCAGCCACAAAAAGAATGAGATCACATCCTCTGAAGGAACATGGATGAGGCTGGAGGCCATCATTCTTAGCAAACTAATGCAGAAACAGTAAACCAAATACCGCACGTTCTCATTTATAAGTGGGAGCTAAATGATGAGAACACGCGGACACAAAAAATGGAACAACAGACACTGGGGCCTACTGGAGGGTGGGGCCTGGGAGGAAGGAGTGGATCAGGAAGAATAACTAATGGGTACCAGGCTTAATACCTGGGTGATGAAATAATCTGTACAACAAACTCCCATGACATGAGTTTACCTGTATAACAAACCTGCATATGTACCATTAAAAGTTTTAAAAAGCATGTGATAAATTTGTTTCTGTAATAAATATAATAAATCCTACCTATTTTATTAGATAATTTTTCTCTTCAGTCTCTGAGTTCTTGGCATGCAAGGAATGTTAGCCTTTTCGTATATATATTTGCACATATTTCTTCTCTCCATCTATCATCTTCTTTCAAAATTTTTTGATATCTTTTACCATCATATTTTTTTAAGTTTTATGTAACCAAATCTGTTGATTTTTCTTTTATGATTACTATGTTTCTTTAAAAGTTTTAAAGAAGAAAAACATAAAACTGTATATACCAGGACCTTTTTTTTGAAGTAATCCTCTGAACTTTTTTTTTTCAGTTTTTTCATGGCTACTCTTCTGTTTCAGTTTTGTACTTCCTCAGTCAAGCTGGTGATTTGTATGTATAAGAAAATTATTTATTTACATAGTGTTTTAAGGATTACTGGCATACAGTTGCCCATAATACTGTTTTGCTCCTTAAATCACCTCTTTCTCTAAGGTACATGCTCTTTCTTACTTCTAATATTAAATATTTGCATTTTCACTATATTTGTGATTTATATTTGCCAGAGTTTGGCCTATCTTATTTTATTAAAAATAAATACTTATTGACTTTGGAAGACTGAGGCAGGTGGATCATTTGAGGTCAGGAGTTCAAGACCAGCTTGGCCAACATAATGACACCCCGTCTCTACTAAAAATGTAAACATTTAGCTGAGCATGATGGTGGCTGCCTGTAGTCCCAGCTACTTGGGAGGGTGAGGTAGGAGAATCGCTTGAAGCCTGGAGGTGGAGGCTGCAGTGAGCCGAGATTATACCACTGCACTCCAGCCTGGGTGACAAGTTAAGACTCCATTTCAAAAAAATAATAAAATAAAACAAAACAAATGCTTATTGGATTTATTAATATGTTCTATTACCTTTAGGCATTGTAATGTTATATCAACCCTCAAAAATTTCTTCTTATTTTCTTCAGTTTTTTTTTTTTCTGGCTGCTTGCATTTCTCAGTTTAATTCTCCTTCATTTTTATTGTTTATTTCTGAAAATATTCAGAGCAGTGACATTTCTCAAGAACAACATTGGCATAAGTTTGATATGTGTATTCTCATTGTTGGTTATTTTCTAATGAGTCTATTACTCATTAGAAAATGAGTAATACTCATTTCTATTACTGCAGTTTTGATTTCTCTGTTAACCCACGAACTATTTAGGTCACTTTTAAATTTAAAACTTTTACTGTTAATTTTTCTGCATGTCACATTATGATTCTAGAAACTCCTCCCCTGGTTAAGTTCAGTGGAAAGAATGTTCAAAGAAACCAAATATGCGAACAGCTGTGGGTAAGTCATATTGAAAAAAATATTGATCCACCTCTTACAATCTTGCATCTCTGCAGCAATTGCTGACAGCTACACAGCTGCTGTCTCGCAGCAAACACAGGAAAGACTGCAGAGGCGCTCTTTTAAAGGAATAAGTTGGGGAACTTCTCAGAAACCTTCATCTGTTCATTCTTGAAAGATCACATGGGTTTGGTTGGTTGTCTCCTCTTCCTGACAGTGCTGATAAGGCCACTGAGCATGGCCTCTGTGCACTAGGGGCCCCTTTTCAGGTTCACAACATTGACTGCCAGCCTGGCTCCATGACTCTCAGTGGAAGGGGAGGTGGTGGTGTTCACAGCAAGTAATAGTTACCTACAACACAGCAGCATTAAGATTCCCCAAATGCCTGGTATCCTGTGGTCACTGCCACCTATATCTATCTAGAGAGAAGGCAGTGGGGAGAACAGTAGTGGCCACAGACTCTAAAGCCAACTTAGTCCCTGGGCATCGTGGGAGTTTGCACAGACTCTTGGATGAGGTGACCCAAAGTGGCCTTCTGGTATCAACAGTTTCCCCTTGAAAGTTTGCCATATCCTTTTCTAAGGAAACAAACAAACAAAAAAAACCTGGCAGGATATCATTTTAAATGCCTGACTTTGTGCCAGGCTCAATGTGAGTATAACCCAGAGGTCAGCTGGGCGCCTTCTGCTCCATGCATTCTTGACTTAACTTCCTTGAATTGCTGGGCCCCCCACACATTGCATCAGACCTCCATTTCCAAGGTGTGGGGAAGTTCAAAGTTTGTTTCCCATCCATGCTCCTCCTTCAAGTTCCTGTGAAATCACAGAGGTGTCCAGTCTCCAGATCTGCCTTCCACCCACTCACGAGGCAGAATCAGCCTTTCTTCCACATCCACAGCAGAGCCCATCACACCCATCTTCTCAGATTACTTGAGAATCAGGGTAGAGGTCATAACATCAAGAGAGTGGCATTCCGCCATCATGTTCACCCATCTGCTCTGTCCTTCTCTCCCAGATCCTCACCACCTTCCTCCTGAACACTCCAATTCCCCAGCTCCAAAT